ATCCGTCTAGAGGTCACAGTCCTTTGCTAACAAGGCTTAATCGAAGGGCAGCTTCATACACAATTCAAACACGACCAGTACGACCCAATTGGCACTTTATTTTCTCAGTACACCACTGCTGGCTGCTTAACCAACAATATGTTCTTCTCCCACCGCCACTGTTACCCTTGCGGCTGATATACGCTCATCTCGAGTCCATTGTTGAACGAGAGTGTGAGATTCCTAAAACCACTTCCAGGCGCACGCATGTAGTCAAGGAGTTCTTTGCAATGTTCTGCAGCACCAATTGTGTTGTCGGTAATAATGACAGCACCCGGTCGCAGTGCCGGCTGGACCAATTTCAAGACTGGAAGCAACATCGGGCCCCAGACTGTTGCTGTCAGCACAAATCTAGACTGTTGCAGGGGTTGATCACTCACTATCCAACAATAGCATGTCTACCGTTCCCAAGTCGTGCTTCAAAGTCTCTCTGATATCACCCTCTCGCAGCTCGATGATTTCGCTGACAGAGCTACCGCACTCATTCCAATGCTCTCGAGCCTTCTTGGCTTTCTCGGGCTCATGCTCCGTTGCGATGACTCTGCCTGCGCCACCCGTAACTCCGACGTTGGATGCAATGGCCAGGGCGAGATAGATGGTGCTCACACCGTAGGATGTGCCAGCCTCGACAATAGTCTTAGCGCCGGTTGCAAGGCCCATTTGGTAGAGAAAATAGGCTTTGTCTTGTTCGATGGCAACAAACTTATTCCGCATTTTTTCAGCGACACTCTCGGTTTCGAAGTCTTTCCAAGTCATGTGGGCTTCTTCTGCTGCTGATCGATTGTGCAGCATGGAAAGCAGCAACAAGATGTGTGGGGAGACATGCTTGAGTGGGTGATTGCTCGCTTGGGAGGCCATGATTAGCATGGAAAGTGACAAGGCTTATAATTGTGATCAAAACATCGGGGTTGCTTACTGCTATATTTATACCTCTTTCTCATACTTGTAGCTTTGCTTGCAAGATTCAATAGTATATGGCTGCTCTCTATCCTTCTGGCAAATTACCCCTGCAACAGCAAAGTTGTGAGTCATACGGCTGGCATTGGGCATTTGTTCCCGGTGATCGAGGCCGTGTGATATGCAACCTGCTTCGATGGAAAAGGCATATCCGATGTGCATACCTAGTGTGCTGTGGAGGAAACGGCAAGGCAGAGCCCTGTCAGCTTTCATCCTCTCAATCGGAGCACTTCTTACCAGACTAACCATCACAAAGCCAATTTGGCTCCTCCAAGATGCATCGTCTCCCTACCTATTCAGGCTAGAACTGGCGCAGTGAGAATCAAGCGGAGCAGTCGATGACAGCATCAATTTGACTATTGGACGCCCTTTGATAGCCGTCGCGTGGTTCGTGGGCGGATTCAGCGGAGCCTGGAGTGGTCTAATTTAGCCTTCTCGGCTTGACACCATGAGGCCATCATTTAGCTTCCCACGCGCTAAACAGGTTTGTATGCATCTCTAATTCTACTTCTACTTAGGAATATATATTGATTTTCTTCTGTGTCTTCCTAGGTACTGCGACCCACATATTAGGCTTTGCAGAATACCTGTGTTCGAATGTAAGCAGAGCAAGCTGCGCTTCACAACGGATTATCGTACATCGTTCTACCCATGGCCTGACAAGTCCATCTCAGCCAGTCGGACAAGACCTTTTTTTAACTTCAAGGAATGATTTCCGCCCTCGTCCTTGTTTGGTCATTGGCGGGAGATCAACGAGTGAGAGTAGACAGATAAGCATGGCATCTGCATCGATATGCAGCTCCTAAAATAGCTCCAGTGTTCCCCTCACATCCATTCCCCTCTTTTCGAGACTGGTCAAAACACCATCAGTACATCCAGATTGAATTAAACGACATCCAGACACTCGACGATCATACAGTCATTCTCCTCGCATCCATAATGGCTACCATGAATAAGATATTCGCCGGCTACTCCGCCCGCAAAGCCGCCCTCGAAGCCGTGACCAGCAACCCTTTCACTCAAGGCATCGCCTGGATTGAAGGCAGCCTCATTCCGCTCCATGAAGCTCGCATTCCCTTGCTCGATGAAGGCTTCCTCCACGGCGATTTGACCTACGACGTCCCTGCCGTCTGGGACGGGCGCTTCTTCCGCCTAGACGACCATCTCTCGCGGCTAGAGCTCAGCTGCGCGAAACTACGCATGAGACTACCTATTCCACCGGATCAAATCAAAAGCATCCTTATCAGTATGGTAATCCGTAGCAGTCTTCGCGACGCATACGTCGAGCTGATCGTCACGCGCGGCCTGCAAGGCATTCGGGGTAGCAAAGACCCCCTCAGCCTCAAAAATAATCTGTATCTATTCATCAAGCCGTATGTCTGGGTGATGGAGCCCGAGGTGCAGCGGACGGGTGGACATGCCATTGTTGCACGCACAGTACGACGTGTCCCACCCGGAGCAATTGATCCGACGGTCAAAAATCTGCAATGGGGGGATTTGATTCGAGGGGCTCTGGAGGCGGCGGATCGAGAGGCGACATATCCATTCTTGACGGATGGGGACGCACATCTTACCGAGGGGTCAGGGTATAATATCGTTCTGGTTAAGGATGGGGCGATTTATACTCCTGATCGAGGGGTGTTGCATGGGGTCACACGTAAGAGTGTTATAGAGATTGCGCAGCGGGCGGGAGTTCCAATTTGCTTGGAACCGACACCAGTTGAGCTGGCTTATCAGGCTGATGAGATCTTCATGTGCACAACTGCTGGAGGTATCATGCCCATCACAACCTTGGACGGTCGGAGGGTGGGCGACGGGAAGGTTGGTCCGCTGACAAGAATGATATGGGATGAGTATTGGGACATGCATTATGACTCAGCTTATAGCTTCGCTATTAAGTACAAAGGTTCTTCGGACAACCGTGCGAAGCTTTGAACACTTACGAAGTTTGGGATTGGGAGAGAGTATCATTCCTGTTGATATGCGCCGAAATCATTATCATACATCGAAAATCTGAATACGTGGTTCAGTCCGAGCTTGCAACGGTCTTATAGATATGGTTGTACCCATCCAAAGACTCCTGTGTCAACTCCTTCATCTCCCGTCCCTGGAATCTGTTGGGATCCAAAGCTTCCTTCAAGGTATCATCAACAGCCTCTCCCTTCATCAATTGGGTCAGGAATTTGGCCGACCCAGCCGCATGAGTTACCCAAACAGCTGCGGCCATGTACAGCCCAGCCACCTCAGCAACAGCTCCCACCAGTGGCATATTGTCTGGCGTCATCGAGAAGATACCGTTGAACTTCTCCCTGATCTCCAGATCTGTCGACTCCGGGATGAACTTCATCGCGGTATCCAATGTTGCGCTGAAATCCTCAATCCAGTCTCCGATGGCCGTCTCGGTCGGCTGCTGCGCATGTGGTGGGTGGTCGTAGGAGCCTAGCCCATAGAAGGTACCGTGATCACGGGCATAGACGTGGTGTTCGGGCCATCTGACCCAAGGGGCTTTATGTTCGCTCAACTCATGGTACCTGCCGTACATATACGGATGCGCGACAGGGACAATAGGAATGGGCGTCTGGAAGCTGCAGAGCTCGGGGGCCCAGATGCCAGTCGCGATGATGACCGTCTTGGCCTGGACGAATCCAGCCGTAGTCATCACACCCTCCACCTGGCCATTGGCTTGTTGAATCTTCGTGGCATCCGCCTGGAGAAGCTGCACACCCCTCGCCCGTGCCTCATCTTGGAAGAAGGTGGTGATTTTGATGGCGTTAGCAGCACCATCACTGGCGAAGTGCAACGCGGCGGTGTACTCTCCCTTGATCAAAGCAGGGGCCATGTTGGTTGCTTGTGCGGACGAGATGAGCTCAGCTTGGAGACCAGCTCTTTTGGCCGAGTCATGTCGTTGCTTCAGACGCTCCGCTCCTGCAGGGCTGGTCGCCAGCTCGAGGCCCCCAACCACGTCGAATCCACCAGGGATCTTTCTGTACTCCTGGACCGTATCCTGGGCCAGACGGGTCAGGACCTCCGATTCATTGTACTGGCCAACAAATCCAGGTGCATGGCCGGTGGAACCCTTCAAGGGTGCAAAAGAACGATCAATCAACACGATCTTCTTGCCCATGTCCCCTGAGGAAGATAGGAAGTACCCCAGGGCCGAACCCACGATACCAGCGCCGATGACGGCGATGTCTGCGGTGTGTGAGGCTTGCATCTTGGTCAATGTTTGAGTTATGCTGTGTGTTCCGAGCCCACCACTTGGGAATGGCTTGTAGCCTATATATGATCCAGCAGAGCCAAGCCAGCCAAGCTCGCCGCTCTCGGCGCATCGGTCCTAGATCAGTCGGTCTCGTATAGTTGTCTACCCCCACTGTGCTATAGTGACCAGTGCTAGCAGGCTTCTTGCCCAATCCACCCCCACATTTATCCGTCTTCAGAGCCGCTTTGCACCGGGAAGTTGTGGTTCGATACCATTTACGGTCAATACTCGGAGTTCCGAGGCACTAGCCTATACTTCAACTACATTTGAAGGGCGTGGTGTAAAACCTGGAAGGGTTGTTGTTGCGGCCGAGGTCGGCCAGGGATGATGAGTGGCGGTTGAGAGCCGTAATTGCCTGAGGCAGAGAACGCAGGATGCCGGTGCCCCTCCAAGTGACTCAATGTGATTGACAATTCTCTCTCCCGTTCCCTCGCCATCCAACCCCACCCCACTTCGCGCCAACCCAACCTGGATGGCTCCTGCATGCAATTGCAATTCCGCGTCCATTGTCATACAGCCTTTGTGACCATCGTGTTCATATCGTTCTGTGTCACTCTAGCAGTTCACCTCCTCGTGTATCGTGTATTGTACACTTGGGGGTCAATTGCAACCTCCTCGGTTGGCGCGTTTTCAATGGCATCTTCATTTGGAATCTGATGGAACATTTCACAAAAGGGCAGAGCGGAGCTATTTTCTTAATTGATTATAGGTGGTATCTTCCAATTGTGTTCAAAGCAATATCGTGGGATTTTTCGCAGCTGCGCTCAGCTTAAAGAAATCTGTATACTTCATCTGCTGTCTCTCAGAGCCTATATAAATGTATTGTTACTGAGTGAGGAGCCTTCTTCTCTGCATCTCATGGCATTCTTGCTAACCAGACATAGGATAGTCACGGCAGTCGGTTTTCTATACTTGTTAAAACTATCGTTCAGCCAATTGGCCACTGGTTAGTCCAACTATACCCATTTCACCTTGATTTAGCGTGGCATTGGAGCGGCTATTCCCGTCTTTTGTCGACTTTCTGTCATCATGTCGATGTTCAGAAAGCCTTCAGAGATCTCATCGTCATCCAGCTCAGACGAGGAGGTCCAGGATCTTCATATCTCGGAGCCTCGTCCTGAGGTCCGCTCAAAGCAGCGACATCAGCCGAAGAAGAAGGGCATTTTGTCGCCTACGTCAGCAGGCGACAGCACTGATGTCGACGGTCATGGAAAGATGATGACCGCTGCCCTTCTCGAGTTCTATTGCGTCAGTCGAGCCGCGGATCTACTCAACGCGCAGCCAGGCTCCCACGGGCAGTACAATCGGGATTCTCCCGAGGCTAGAGCTCTCGGGCATGATATGTACACTCGTCAATCGGAAGTCCTATCCCAGCATGGAATTGTGAACGAAGGTGCAGAGAAGGAAGCCTTAAGGCCCACGAGACAGCTCTATCGAGATACGCTGGATTTGATCGCTAGCCGTTCCTTTAAACGCCTCGATTTGCATGATCTTCAGTCTAGATCAGCCTCTGTTGGAGGTGCTTTGCCGAAGACTTCCAGTGAATTGACACTCCACAAAGGTCGTTCGGGCCATACGCAACTGGAACGAAATGCCAAGTCTTTCAATTCACTGCAGGAGCTCGACATCGACCACCTATTCAATCCACGTCTGGCTCCTTTTCTGGGTACGGAATCCCACTCGGCCCTTTTCGACGGTATTACTAACTCGTGCGATGAAGAAATGTCGCGCTACGCGTTACAGTTCGAGGAGATCAGTGTTCTAGGTCGGGGTGCATTTGGGGAGGTCTACCACGTGAGAAACCATGTCGATGAACACGAGTACGCAATCAAGAAGATAGCTCTCAGTCGGCGGCGATTGGCGCAACTAGAGGGCGGCAACAAGCACCACTTGGGGGAAATTCTGAAAGAGATCCGCACACTTGCTAAACTCGATCATGCCAATATCGTACGGTACTATGGCGCTTGGGCAGAAAAGGTAAATCCCCTTGACTACCTTGATTTTGACAAACTCGATCTTTCCCTGTTCAATCCGTCGACTGATATTGACTCGCATTCCACACAACAGAATTTGTCACATCATTCTATGGCGTCGCAGATGTCGATGGTGGAAAGCCAGAACAAACAACTGGCGATTGTCTTTGAGGAGTCTGAAACCTCGGCTTCCGGCCATGCACTGCGTACTACTTCTACATCGAAGTTCACCTCGGCAGAAAGCATGGATGACGAAGACGACAGCTTGGCTGACCCCTCGATCTCCCATAATCCTACTCAGGACCAGCCTTCTTCGTTTCGCAGCGCGGATGAAGATATCTTCACAGACGGCCTCAGTCACAACCCTTCGAGCATGCAGATCCTACGCAGTCGTAGAAGAGGTCTTGAGATCCCTGCAGTAATCTTGCATATCCAGATGTCGATGCATCCGATATCTCTCCACGCATATCTCAGCCCTCGACCCAGCACAGATGCAGATGACTCGGACAAGCCACGGCGTCGCCACTGCTTCCACTTGGTTCCCTCCTTGCAGCTGATGATAGACATTCTTTCCGGCGTGCTTTACCTGCATTCCAAGGACATCATTCACCGCGATCTCAAACCGGCCAACATCTTCCTCTCTTGTCCGGAGAAACACCACACCCACACCTGTTGTCATCCCTGTCAATCCGACGGCGGGGCGGGACTTCATTACTGCCAGCCTCGGATCGGCGACTTCGGCCTCGTGGCTGACATCTCGCATCTAAACGATCCTCCATCTGACGGCTCGCCTCAGTCCCCAGAGCCTGGCTCGACAATTCACCACGTCGTGGGTACAGAATTCTATCGTCCACCTCTCGACTCGAGCGGGTTGATCTCAAGCGGGTATGTTCACCACTACGCCCAGGAGGTAGGGACGGAGCGGCCGATGCATTACGTCTGCGATTGGTCGCTTGACGTTTATTCACTGGGCATCATTCTCTTTGAGCTGCTCTATCCTTTGAACACGAAGATGGAGCGCCATCTTGTGCTGGATGATTTGACCAAAGGCCCGTACAAGAAGCCGCCAACCGCATCCATCAACGGAGCATGCCTGCCCAGAGACTTTATGGACAAAGTTCACATGGGCGATGTGAAGTTGAAGACTGGAAATACGGTGGCTGAAGCCTTGGCGAGCTGCATTGGAGGTATGCTAGATCCCCACCCCCGTCAACGCTGGCGGTGTGAGGTCGTCCAGAAGTGCCTGCGAGAAATCCTTGCTACTGTGCACCCGGACTCGTATTGATGTTGACATATACTACAATCAATCCGACGGCATACGCACAGGGCTGTCGATCGGTTTAGAGTAAGTAGCACTCTGCATTTAGCGCATAGCGTTGAACATTTTTCTTAAATAGCATCAAATTTTATACCATAATCAATATATCATAGCCACAGATCAACGTCTTCAAATATATACACCCAATGGCAGGAAAATCCCAGATGTCTACGTACTGCTCCAGTCAAATATCTAACCATAGTTACAAGCACATGTAAAACAAATATGCTCACCAACCAAAACCTATATGATATAATTCAGAAATCAGCTACTTCCCCCAGCATTATCGCTTCTCAAGCTCCTGCCGAAGCGCATCAACCCACGCCAACTTCCCTTCCGCGAAGATCTCCCCGGCAGGGGGCATACGCGCGCCTTTGTCGAGCAAGATGGTTCGGATGATGACTCGGTCTCCCATGACGGCCTGATGATGGTAAATGTGAGAGGTGCAGTTGGGGCAGAAGTAACAGTGGACGGGGTTTCCGGAGGCTCCGGTGTAGGTATACGTGCTGGGTTTTCCGGAGAGGATTCGCAGTTGATCCTGTCGTCATCATCATCACCATCGTCCTGGAGATTAGCTTTGTTTTCACACGCGTCAATGTGTATGGTAGTATGCTTTTGCGCTCGTGCGCTGCCGGGTGGTCAGTAACGGTCACACACCTTGTGAATGATCTGATTCATCGAGTAAGGCCCACCCCCGAGTTTGCGGCACGTCTCGCAGTGACAGAGGATGTGTTCCGGCTCTGTGATCTCGGCCGTCCAGGAGCAGTCACCGCAGTGGCAGCTCCCGTGGAACGTGCCGGCTCCGATGGTGGGTTTCTTCGCTGTGGGACCGAAAAGGATGCCGTCTCGGATGTCTTTACATTAGGCTAGATTAGATTGGAGAAATTGATGGGGTAGGTCTCGGGCTTACCGATAACAACTGAATCCTCTCTGCATACATCTGTCAGTTATATTTCATCCAAAGCATACTGAAGGGCTCAGAACATACATCAAAGGCGCCGCGTTCCTCGAAAACTCCAAATGCACCGGATCCTCGGTCAAATAATAGTCGAGTTCGGCCTGATTCTCAAACTCCAGGACGAAACCATGTGTCATTCCTTTGCTGAATCGTTCCCAGCTGCGGTTCTTGCCTTGAGAGTTTTTGGGGAAATATAGTTAGCATTCCCCAGCGTTAATGTCTAGATGTTTGCCAAAGGACAACGCACCTGCTTTCATGCTCTTCATGTACGGGCGCCCAGTCTCCGGCTTCTTGCACTTCTCCTTCAGCGCGAGAAAGACGGCGAAGTGCTCCTCAAACTCGCTCCATGTTATGGAGTGTTTATACTTGAACAGGACGATGTGGGTGATCACTTCCGTCATGGCGGTCGGTGGTGGTTGGTTGATTGGTTGGTTGGTTGGCCAAGCTAAGGAAGAAGACAGTTGAGGACCCGGGGCGACAAGGCCCTGTCCCCTAGGGAGCTTATTTATACCGCCAGGTGTCCATTGGGGGCTGCTTTGTTATGTTGTGTTTCATGGCGTGCTTTTGAAGTGTAGGATGTGTGGGATAGTAGGATGGCCGGAGGGCGCGGGGAGAATTACTTTGTTGGGTTGGAGGAGTTGCTTTCCCCGCGCACGTGCCGAGTTGGGAAATTTGGGGTAAGAGCGGGTTTAGGGCGGATGGGCGAGATGCGGAGAAATTCCTTGCATTACTTGTACTCATACGAGTAGGTGAATAGTATGTGTTGCGGAGCGTCGATCCTATGGCATTGTCATGGGGTAAATTTATCTTTGTTCGTGAGAAGTTGAATGTTCAACGGCTAATCCTTCAGCAAATTCAAATCTCTGGAGCGAGCACGAAATGAGAGACCGACTACTCATCACTTGGTCTTTTGGTGGCTCGGATACCAAGGAGCTTGAGATGAGAAATGCCCGATATCTCTTCAAATCACCCTGACTGTGACAGGGAAGCAAACGGCACTGCAGAATATGACAACGGACACTGGAACAACATGGAGACGCGGCGGACAGCCAGTGAAAAAAATAATGTGTGTGCCTGTTGGAACAGGCTGGCAGGATCCAACATTCGCCGTGACTGTAATAGCAGACGGTATTTCGACTGAGAACTCTTGAGCCGCGTTATAAGAGGACTCGAACTGGCTAAAAGACGTGATACGCTACAAGAGGTCAACGCGCAACTCACATTACTCGAAAGATATCAGAACAGCCTCCAAGCTCTTGAAGGTATTTCGCACGCATCGTGGCTGCTTTTCGCAATGATTAACTGTCTGGAGATGTGAGCACCTCACAGCAGACGGAGCTCTAGGTATGTTCTTCGCCATTTGTAAACGCCTGTCCCGAAGCTGCATTGCCATGGGTCTCGTGGAGATACACTGGGTTGGTCAACTTGCTAATCGAGCTTGCGCAGAGCAGGAAGCAAGCCATGTCCCTTTAGTCAAGCCGCAAAAGCTCTTCTTGAGCGATGTTTTCAGTAAATAATGGGAACGACTGTCGCATCACACAGACTTGTCTTTGTCTTGGTATCTTGGAGCATTGCGCACTTTATTCCTCGCCACTGACAGTGAAGAGACTTCAAATTACTTGCTTCCAATCTTTGCGTTTAAGTTCAACGACTTGCCTTGTCGGCCACGTTATAAAATAGAAGATATGTATGGCAAGTAACCGTGCTTGATTGCCTTGTGCAAAAATGGGAAGTCAAGATTATGGGGAATAAAAGGCAACAATGAAGATGAGAATAGCCTGATTTCACTTGTAACCGTAGCCAGATGTGGGAGTGACATAGAGCCCACTACCGGTGCCTGGTCTTTGCAGACAAGTCTTGTTGCCAGAGCTACTTTGTTTGGCAGATCAGGGATCTCCTTTCAAACGCAATGCCGATAACTGAGCAAACATCCATCTCTCCATTCCTCTATACTCATCAAAGGAGCAATATCAGGAGTAACACAGGTATTATTTTCTGTTAAGTATCATCCTAGTTCTAATTTTGTTCTAGGAACTGGAACTGTATGTTCAGGAAAGGATCTCCTCTCTTCCATCAAACCATGTATGATGTCACGTGCAACCTTACAACATCACGTGCTCCAGCAGGAAGCAGTGAGTGACGTCACCAGCAGCAATGGGTAATCTCAATACCAAAGTTACCGGTATGTTGCCCCAAACACAAGCCAACTAAAATCATCTCGACCGCCAAAACCTCAACCACTGGATGGTCGTGGCTTTTAGAAGGACTGTCATGGCCTCTTGAGATTGCACGCCTCTGATTTTCTGGAACGGGCTTCCATGAAATTCAGCTGTCATCATAATGGAGAGCCTTGATGGGATTTCCATCCCCCGCGATGCTGCGGAAGATCGCAGTGTTGGCCATCTCGACGGCGGCCGTTCTTCCAGAGCATCTCGAGATGGTAGCAGCTCTCCAGACTCTCCGACTGACTTCAATTTCCCTTATGCAGACACCTCCTTCACCTCTGGCTCGAGCAGCAAGCTGGCTGGCGACCAGCCCGAGTCAGCGTTGCGAAGCCTTCTCGACTTGGAAGACGATCGGAAGTCCCCCCGCGCGGGCTCACCGTTCCCCTCGCTACCCTTCAGCGCCCCTTCAGCTCCCACAGCCCCTCTGAGCGAGGAGGGCGAGGAAGCTGAAGATGAAGAGCCGCAGATCGCAACCTCCTTCGAGCGGGACTCGACGCCCACTTCGGCACAAAAGCAGCGATCTGCGTTCTTCGACACGGGCGGCGAAGAGGGAATCAACCGCATGCACAAGTTCTCGCTGTACGAGACAGCCACCCGCTTCTACATGGTCGGCATGGACTTGTCGGACACACGCTTCCGGATCATGAAGATCGATCGGACCTCGGAGTCGGGCGAGCTGATCATCTCGGAGGATGATATTGTCTACAGCAAGCGGGAGATGAGCCAGTTGTTGGATACCATCGACGACGGCAATAAGAGCTCGGGCGGACTGAAGCTCAAATGCAGCGCCTGGGCTATGCTTGGTTTCATTCGCTTCACGGATGCTTATTACATGCTCCTAGTTACAAAAAGAAGTCAGGTTGCCATGCTCGGCGGTCATTACGTCTATCAGATTGATGGAACTGAGTTGATCTCGTTGACGACGTCCAGCTCATCCCGCCTGCGACCGGAGAAGAACCCCGAGGAGGCAAGGTACATTGCAATCCTGAACAACCTTGACTTGACCCGGTCATTCTACTTCAGTTACTCTTACGACATTACCCATACTTTGCAACGCAATATCTGCCGAGAGCGCAAAGCTCATCATGAAGGACAGCCCAAGACATTCCAGCAGGATTACAACCCGATGTTTATCTGGAATCACCATCTTCTCACCCCGGCTCTTACCAAGTTACGCAACCCTTGGGAGTGGTGCCTTCCGATCATTCATGGCTATGTCGAACAGGCTAAATTGTCAATTTACGGGCGGATTGTGTACATAACAATCATTGCTCGTCGTTCTCGGTTCTTTGCCGGCGCTCGTTTTCTGAAGAGGGGAGCCAATGACCTGGGATATGTGGCCAATGACGTCGAAACTGAGCAGATTGTCTCTGATATGGCGGCTACGTCGTTCCATGCGCCTGGCCCGCTGCTCTACGCGAATCCGCTTTATACATCATACGTCCAGCATCGTGGCAGTATTCCGCTCTATTGGACTCAGGAGAACTCCGGTGTTTCCCCCAAGCCAGACATTGAGCTGAATTTGGTTGACCCGTTCTATTCTGCTGCCGCTTTGCATTTCGACAATCTGTTTGAACGGTACGGTGCTCCAGTCTACGCATTGAACTTGATCAAAGCTCGAGAGAGGACTCCAAGGGAGTCAAAACTTCTCAAGGAATACACCAATGCGATTCAGTATCTCAATCAGTTCCTTCCTGAGGATAAGAAGATTATCTATCAACCTTGGGACATGAGTCGTGCTGCGAAAAGTCGCGATCAAGATGTGATAGGGACACTCGAAGATATTGCAGGGGACATTATTCCAAAGACTGGGTTCTTCCAGAATGGTGTCGATGCCGAATCCGGGCTCCAACTGCAGAACGGAATAGCGAGGACCAACTGTATCGACTGTCTCGATCGTACGAATGCCGCTCAGTTCGTGATCGGCAAACGCGCGCTTGGCCATCAGCTCCACGCTTTGGGAATCATCGATGGAACAACAGTGGAATACGATTCGGACGCTGTCAATTTGTTTACTGATATGTGGCACGATCACGGTGACACCATCGCCATTCAATACGGAGGCTCTCACCTGGTCAACACCATGGCAACCTACCGCAAGATTAATCAGTGGAGCAGTCACTCGCGAGACATGGTCGAGAGTTTCAAGCGATACTACAACAATTCCTTCCTTGATGCTCAACGCCAGGAAGCATACAATCTCTTCCTTGGCAATTACATCTTCTCCCAGGGACAGCCAATGTTGTGGGACCTGTCTACCGATTACTACTTGCATCATGCCAATCCAAGGTCGTGGTCAAACAAGAAGCGTCCTCACTATATCAACTGGTACAATCCGGACAACTTGAAGAAGTTCGAATTGCCGCCCCCTTCTAAGCCGCTCAAGGAACCGTTGTCACACTATGACGACTATTGGCTCGAGTACTACCGCCCGCTAGCAGTCTCATCATTCTCCAAGGTGTTCTCCTACAAGATGAACTCCACCCTCCGGTACCTGCCTTTCCGCCCTGGATCCGGTGCTCCCTACGACATAAGCCCCTTCGTGCCCAGGATTCCGCATGAACCGGTGAACCGCGAGCGTCAGACCCACCGAACTGTCAAGATCCAGGAACCGGATAAAACAGCAATCGGCCGTTCCAACTCCACAACCTCGCAATCCAATCGCCGTTGGCTGAACCAACCCCTTTCCGCGGACAAACAGCTTCCGGCCGCAGGAATCATGAAACAACCCACATACACGTCTTTCGGAACGCCTTCACAGACCACCGCTTCCCTCCAATCCTCCCTGGAACCCGGCGCCACGCCCAGCAAAGCGCAAATCGCTCAATGGACCTTGGGACAGCTCGTGCACGACTCCCTCAACCCCACGGTCACCGCCGCGGAAGCCGAAGAGTACGAACGCTACATCAACCATCCCCTGAAAGTGCCCCTCGTAGTCACCTCGGAGAACGAACTCACCGCAACCTCGATCCGCGAAAACGAAGCCAACCTCGACTACATTGAGTATGCCAACAAATGCAACGTCGAGGAAGCCAACCTGGAGGCCAACGCACTCGAAAACCTGGCGGACTACGTCGAATACCTCAACGTTCCCGAGACCGGCCTGACCGTCGTCGCGGAGGACTACGACAAAAAGCGATACAAGCGCTACCGGCAGTGGTTGCGGGGCAAGAGTCTTTTCAAGCAGCGCGTCGATGCTTGATTTTGATGTTCATCATTCCTAGGGGGGGTGGAAGCATGTTTCATGGAAAAGCATGTTTATAGAGAACTTTTGTCTTCTGATTGATTTTCGTCCCGCTTTTGTTCAAATGTTCCACGAAATGTGTTGTTCACGAAATGCCCTTGTCATGACATGATACCCCCTTTGCCGCGTGTGTGCTCACTTCCTGATGTTTTCTGCTGCCGTCTTATCCTGTGATTTTTTCCGTTGTGATTTACGTGTTCCATCGGGGTTGAGGAAAAACTAGAGTTTCAGATAGCGTTGTAACTACCTAGTACCTATTGTGGCTATTTCTCATTAAGGATCAGCATAAAATTGAAGCATTGTTTCAGTAGCTTAATTTTGTAGGCAATACTCGGATAACGTCGCCCGTGATCTCGGGGCTTTCGTTTTGGTATCCTACAGCAAACGACGAGTGCCTCGCTCATACTAACAGCCAAAGGGAATATTTCGATATGACGAAAGATAATTTGACTGAATTATTCTTCTGCCTGCCCAAAATACCTCCCATCCGACGGATCCACCTCCGCAAAGAGCAAGCCCCGCAGCTCTTCCTCCGCCGCCACGAGGTTCTCCAGCTCCTTGCCAAAATCACCGGTTGCGAGGGCCTCCTGCTCCGGCGTGTCCGGCCGCAGGGGCTTTTCCATCGCCAACCGGAGCAAAGCGACGACGCCCTGAAGCTCGTTCTTCAGCCTCTCGAGGGTCCTCAACCGTTCATGGTCGTCATGGCTCCTGGAATTTTTCAGGCCCCTAGTGGCGGCCCGGATCTCCCGCTCCTCGTCGACGACGTTCAACCAGCATGCACAAACCCCGCCTAGGATCTCCGTCCGCCAGCGCCAGACGCGCGGGTGGGCGTTCAGGATCACGGCGCGGGCGACGTCCAGCGCTGCGAAGAGCAGGGGCGGGTGCGCTGTCCCGAAGGGGTTGGTGAGGGTGCTGTAGATCAGGGGGATGATCTCCTGCAGGTACTTGGTGGATTCGATGCGCAGGGCGCTGATCGTCCGTTGGGTCTCGGTGAGGAGCAGCGTGGAGAGCCTTGGGTGGGGGAAGGAGGTCAGTGCGGAGGAGTCGGAAGGGGAGGTGATCGGGTTCGTGGAGCTGATGTGGTGGAAGGAGGTGATGAGGTTGTCGCGGAGGGTTTTGGTCAGCGCCGCGGTGAAATCGGGTTTGCTGCTGCTGCTGCTTTTACTGCTGCTGCCGGTGGCGTAGCTGGTTTCGAGCAGCGCGTGCAGGGCCGGGTAGGCGGTGCTCAGGAGGCGGAGGGAGTCGTCTTCCGGGGTGATGGTCGGCAGGGAGAGCAGGCACGGCCGGAGGGCGTCCTCGAAGACGGAGCTGAGGTTCGTGCGCCGTAGGATGTCTGATTGGGCGGAGCGGATGGGTTGCAGGAGTTCTGTGAGGAGGATGCAGCCGTGGATCTTGGGGGGGAGGGTTTCGTCGTCGATGAGCGCGAGGATGGGCGGGATGAGTTGCGAGAATTGTCGTTCTAGTTGGGTGATTGATGTAGACTTTGCGTGAACAGTCTAGGGGTTAGTGATTTTGGTTTCTTTGGGCGTCGAATGCAGGTGATAGGGAGACAAACGTCATATTGAGCGAGTGCCCAGCTGAATACTGTGGTCGAGTAAACGGCGAACGCCTTCCAGGGCTTCGCTTCGGGGTCAAGAGTGGTGAGGTCGAATCGGGCCAGGGGCACAGGGTGGAAGTTCTTGCGACCCTCTGCTGTGATGGCTGGGTTCCTGGTCTTGGTGAAGAGAGGCCGGATTTTCTCCTTCAGGGTCGTCTCAAGATGCGTCCACAGAGCGCCATCGGAGCGCGTGGTTGCACTGAAATCCTGAAGGATATCGATTGAGATCCGGTGCGCTTCTTCGGTGGACCATGGATCTTCTTCTGAAGTGAAGCTGGCAAGCGCAACCAGAATATTAGGGATGTTGGCAGCTCTGCTAATGGGGTACACTTTATTCAATCCGGAGATGACGGTGATAGCTTGCGCCAGCTTCTGCTTCTCTTCAGCAATAGCAGCAAGCTTGCGTTCTAGAGGCATGGTTAGCAGCGGATTCTTTCAAGCGAATGGGGCTGGTCTTACCACTGGCCTCTTCGATTGTCTCCGCGAAGATGGGCGAAGGGAGAGCAGCGTTGCTTGCCCAGTCGTAGATGTAGTCTGCCGCCTCTACATCGGCTTCAAGCACCGTCTCAGAAGTCCATTTTTGCAGGACGGCTTGTGCCACCAGTAGGTTCTCACGAAGCTGATGGGGATTTGTCAGCAAGAACTATTGTATGTGCTGAGCTGGGCTCTTACTTGGGCAGGGTCCGATTCAACTTGAGATAAGCAATCCTGCCATAGATGACTTAGCCCTCCCGATGTGGTATACCGGGCAGTGGCAGCCTCCGGGAGTTCAAGATCTCCTCGCGGAAGGGATTTGCGTGCTGCCGCGCGGAGTTCTTCCATCTATCCGTGCAGTTGGCAGGCAATCCAGCTCTCTTGTCTTAGAAGAAGATCACAGTGGGCCTTCTTTGTTGAACTTTTGTCCCTCGAAGGTTAACAGGCGGGGAAAGGTTCAGGTGACACAGAAGTAGTTTGAGAAACTGAGGGAAAAGTTGGACTGCGATCCCATGGTTTGTATGACGGCAGTTTATGCTGCGAGCGGTCAGTTGGCGGATTTCGCCCAAGCCGTTACGCTGCAATTCCATAACTACAATTACTAAAGACCATAAAACATTGTTCAGCTATGAGCTAACTTCTATTCTTAAATTCTGACTCTATTAGACTCCCAGCTCTTGTCTTTTATCAGCTAAGACTTTCAGGACTTCCTCCTGATCGGTTGACTCGGGATGCACTAGTTGCCATTCAACCACCATCTGCAATGCCTTGGCCAGCCATGGTCCCTTCTTACCACCCATTGTCTTCATGACCTGATCGCCATTGACAAGCGGTTTCAGATCGTATACATCTTGCAGGTTCTGTTCCCTGATGTACGCAATAAACCCGGCATACTCTTCGACCACTAATATACAACATAAGTCAGTTCTCGCTCGTGTTGTTCAAAGAGAAAGAGCTTGAGATTCTCACCTAGGTCATACTTGCGTCCGCTCATGACCTCCTGAAGTATAGCCTGAACAATGCACAGCCTCCAGTCCTTTTTCCAAGAACGAATGTGCAACCCAACGTGCCTGCGGACTTCCATTGCCGTGCCACTCACAGTCCCTTCCAAAATTGAGTTCTTCACCTGTATTATCGACTGCCAGCTTGCTGCTGCATCTCCAACAACAGATATTACTTTATTGTCGGCTCGCAAACTTTCTTTGGCAACCTCTGCAGCCCGAGGCGGTGGTGGCCGCCCCTTGCCTTTTGCGGGGCGGCTTGGGACCTTCGACCACGGAGCCATTGCTGAGAGCATCCAGGCGTAGAACTCCTCTTGCCTGTCGCGAATGAGAAAGTCTCGAACTTGTTCCACTGTCTGTCGAGGGTCGACGTCATTAGGCCGTATCAGCCTCTCTACTGTGTTGTAGGCGAAAGGCCAGGATGAAGTCTCGACAGTAGCATCATCCTGGAAATTAGCGAAGATAGTCGGATAAAGACCTAGGCGATCTATTATATGTAGTGCACCGCGAGGGTCAGGTCCTAGGGTTGGTCAGCATAATACGTAGCGTAAGTTGGAGGCACATTCGCTAACCATAAAGCATCTTTTCAAGCTCCTTCAGGACACGCTCACGGCTAATTTTAAGTTTTAGAGCCTCGCCTATAAGAGCGTTCTGCATCGCTGCCTCGGTTTCAGGGTGTATTATGTATCCCAGGCGGCTTGCGAAACGGATTAGTCGTAGCACGCGCAGTGGATCATCCTGGAATGTTTGATATGGCTCCAACGGGGTGCGGATGATTCGGTCCTGCATATCCTGAAGACCACGTCTGGTCAAATCTTCGACCTTGGACTCATTGAGATTGTAGAAAAGTGCGTTGATGGTGGCATCTCGGCGCAACGCGTCTTCCTCAGCTGTTCCGAACTCCATCTGAGGGTTGCGGCTGTCGGCGGTATATGTCTCTTTTCTCAAGTTGACCAAGTCCACATCGAAGCCGAAGATATTGGTCGTCACTGTTTCCAGGTGCTTTGATTTCTCCGGATTTGCCTCGATCTTATGCAAACTGACAAGCTCTTTGCCTAGATCGCTGCTCGCATGATTCTTCCGGTATTTGTCCAAGTTACCAGGGATGTCCATGTATTCTTTCAGCAAGAGCCCAAACTGGTATCCAGTCATGTTGTTGATACCAACATCGATATCTTGGCTGTCGACTCCGAGCAATTTGTCGCGCACCCATCCTCCAGTGAATCGCAGGACAGTGCCGGAGAGGTTCGCATCCTGAGAACCTTCTGCGCACCTTCGTTCATGTATATACTGTGCGACATCAAGTAGAAGAGTTTTGAGAGTATTCTCGAGTGGTGTCAGCTGGATTTCAGGGAGAGTATCGGTGGATTCGCCCATGGTGTTCTCGCGCGGGGCAGCCACAGACAGGCGCCGTCTTTTTTCCGGTCGGTAAGAAGGGCTGCGGGATTCGGGACGTCTCATGGACGAACTGGAGATAGCAGCTCTGTGCCTATGCGAATGATACCGTGTATACGAACGGAAGGTAGATATTTGAGGACGAAGGTGTGTTTGAGGGGTAGAATTGGCAGAGCTATAGGTTCGTGAAGAAAGAATGACGGCGGGGCGGAATCGAGGGAACTTGACCAGAGGACGGGAGAGATGAGTCGCACACATTGACATATGCCATGACAACCGTGACTCAGAGACGTTTTACGAGGAGAGTATGACAGAACATTGACCGTGTTTATCTTCATAAGCGAGAAGTCCATCCCAAGGATAGAGCATGACTACAGCGACTTGGGATAGTACAACCGGCAGATTCATGCGGGCTCCCCTCACCGCCTGCCTCTTCAGATCCATTCTCCATCGGTACGGTGAGGTCACAGAGAGCCGGTTTGTTGTTATTGGCTTGTTGACTTCGAGATGATTGACAATCTAATGTGTATCGATTAAATGAATCTCTGAGCCTAGTTTGAAATCCTGCCAAGTCGATAATTGCCCGTGGCTGACAGGAGGTCTCACGTGCATGCCGGTTTACCTCTATCGTTCTCCCACGTTGCGGCCGCGGTGAAGTGGCTTCATTCATTCCAGCACCGTCTTCTTTTCTCTTCATCTCCCTCTTTCTCCATTCCACATCTTCCAGGCTGACGGCTGACTCTGCTCCTCGCGCGCTTCTTGTTTGAACTTCTAGCCTTTCTGACCCCGTCTTCCCAGTCGATGGGCTCTAGATTTCTTTCAACCTCTTTTAGTGTCGCGTCGCAACTTACTCGGAGTCCATGACATCGCCCGGAGATGCTGCTCCGGTCAAGCCTCCGCCGTCGTTCTCGCCCGGCGTTCCGCGTGTCGCTTCCAAGACGAGGTATCCAAACCAGCGCCGCGATTCTTCTCCGTCTCTAGATGCAGATCTTGCTGAGTCCAGGGTCGCATCCCCAACCCCGCCTCTTTCCGCCACGACGTCAGAATTGCCAATCCGATCAGCATCACCGCGGACACCGTCCTTTCGATCGTCAACACCCCAATTGGCCCGGTCATCTCTCGGGTCTCCGGTAGACGGACGGTTTGAAGGCTCCGAGGAGATACGATCGCTGATCATACGCTCGTTTTCCCCTGTCGTCGGAGTCTATGCATCAGCGGACACTGATGAGTTAGTACGGCAAAAGGGGTTTGCGGGCGGGTTCTGGCAGTTAATCCGGCCATTTGGCGAGACCATCCCAGGAAAGCTTGTCATTCGGGATAGTGTTGGAGCGAGTCGGAGCTGGGAGGATTATGGAGTGCGCTTTGTCGATCTTGGAAACAATAATCAAAGTCCCCCTGAGTCAAGCGGGGGGCGGAGCTCCCCTCTAGCACACGTGGAGGAGGTCTTGGAGAAGCAACTGGGCTCATTGGACGATCCGCTGGGCGGGTCTTTATACCCTAAGGACTTTCTCGGTTTCCCCAGCACATCACCTTTATACAAACTATACCTTCGACAGCTTTTATCCATAGCATCGGCGACACCCCACGAGACTTTCCGACATCCAGTGGCCTGTATTATCGCCATCAGCTCGCGCAACACTGCTCCTCTGGAGACTCTCAGACGACTCTATGCAGACACCAACAATGGAGACAAACGGGTGCCTGACTGGATCCATCCTGAGTATCTCCGGTATTACGTCTTAGTGCATGATGAGGATCGCGACGACATCACAGAGTCTACGAAGCTATACGATCAAATGAAACGCCATTTTGGGCTTCACTGTCACCTGCTGAGATTGCGCAGCAATCAATGTGTGGTTACAGATGATGACAGTATTCAAGTACCTGAGTGTGAATGGCTTTCGCCATCGGAGCGATTGTATGGACGGACAGGTGAGACCGGCCGCTTGGACTGATTGTGCGTTAAGTGCTAATAATTGCCAGAACCCTTAGTAGACCTTGATACGGGTGGGCTTCCGCACGTCTTTGAGTCGGATGTGATGGCGATCAAGGCTTTCGTTCGGGAATTAATTGCGCAATCAGTCGTACCGTACATGGAAAACCGAGTGGCGGTATGGAATGATCAAGTCGCCTCTCGCAGACGTGGTATCAGCGGAAGATTCATGTCCATGTCACGCCGTTGGGCAGGCTTCGGATCCGGCTCTCGATCCAGTCTGACCTCTGGTGGAGCAAGTGGCAATTATGATACTGCTCATGGCTACTACAAATCCGACGCGCCCGAGGCTGTCCTACGTAAGATGGCTGATTTTGCATTTATGCTTCGTGATTGGAAGCTTTCCGCATCGACGTACGAACTTTTGCGGTCCGATTACGCGAACGACAAGGCTTGGAAATATCACGCTGGTGCCTATGAGATGTCGGCTGTGAGCATGCTCCTGAGTCCATCTTCCATGGGTACCAAAGTCAAGATTGATGCGATTGATCAGATGCTTGAGACGGCCTCTTATTCGTACTTGACTCGATGTTCGGATGCGCCTAACACTCTACGATGTCTGACTTTAGCGATGGAGTTGCTTAAATCACGCGGCGGCTCTGCGGTAGAGAGCGCGGCTAAATGGGCCATGCGGGTCATGGACCAGGGTCTCGCCGGCTCTATCGGTCAGGGTCTGTTTAGTGAACGGATCTCAGCCTGTTATGCTGCTCGTAATGCCGTGCCCGGCATGAAATGGGGGTCTCGTCGTCGCAAGGCCGGGATGTGGAGCGTTTTCGCTGCAGATCTGTGGCTTCGACTAGGAAAACCGTCCCTAGCCTCGGCAGCCTTGGAGGAGGCGGAGCGTCTGTATGCGGACGTTCTGCAGGTTGATGGGGCATTTTCGATGCCGGAGATGCAAACCTTCATTGACAACCTCAGACATGCTGTGAAGGTTGAGTATCTCGAAGCTCGAGGCCTAGATACTAGGGACGAGACAGCCACCGCAGCAGCTCTGGGAACCGAAGAGACGAGCGAGCAGCTGGATCGACGCAAGAATCGGAAGTCCCTGATTGTGAATCCTCTGGACTCCGGACTTAGCCCGATACAAGGTATGAGGGATAATGACAATGCAGCCGATGATGACTTTGAACGAGCTTAGGGACGGAATGAAAGGCCGGATAGGCGCATGGGAGGTTATACATCATTATAGACACTCGTCGAAATCTAATGCTCCGTATATACGTACCGCCTGCGTTGTAGTTGCTCTCCTCTTTCACGTTGCCCGTCACTGAGCCATCACCTCATGTATGCCCGGCGTGCAGTAACCAGGGTCTCCCGTCCGATGACGTCCACGGTCCTTTTCCGGAATGAATCCTCACGTGACTTGATCTTATCGATAAGATCACCACCCGGACAACCAACGGGTTGGCCCATTTATTGACATCAGATCTCATCCGAAGGACAAAGGCCAAAGCAGCCGTCAAGCAGGCAGAGCCCTCACAGTGCTGTTTACTGCTGACGATCTACCACACTTTCTTAGGAATATCTAATCTTAATCTCACATCTAATTTTACTATATCCAGACTACAAAACTCAACATGAATGACCTCCTTAACTACATCCTCTCGCAGGATCAATTCAGAAAGTGGGTACTTGTCGACTCGACAAGCCAGCCAGCCCTTTGTACCCTCAACCTCACTCAATCCCACATGTCACAAAGTGCCATCTCACTGACTCCAAACCCTTCTGCTACAGAAACCGCCTCCCATCCCTGTACTCCGACTTCCCCATCCACCGTAAGATCAACCCCGAAGGGTACAACACCAACATCGCAGCATGGCAACACGCCCTAGCCAACGCCGCGAAACACGGCTACATCCACTCGACCCCTGCATCCTCGTCGTCGGGTACGAAGCCAAAGGCCAACCATTTGATCCTCCGGGCGGACGAGACTCTTCTCCGTGATTTGGAGATCCCGGAATGCGGGCGGCCTGTGGCGCTAGGAGCTGTTTTTGTGAGCCTCTCTTTTTCCCCCCAAAGTCAAAGGAAATAAGGGTATAACTCTTTTGGGAGCGAGTCTGGCTAACACGAATATGGGTTGGGTTTGGTTTAGGATGAAGCGATCCGGAATCGCACGATGGTGCCGTTGCAGATGTACAAGAATAGTGGGGTGAGCTTGCAGAAACCGGGGTGGGGGATTGATACTTCGGCGTTGAGTCCCTGGGTGGTGATGAGTTGGGGAATGAAGCAGTTGAAGGGGGTGGTTTTGGGGTCCGAGGAAGCGACGCCCCGTCTGCAGGCGCAGGAGTTGGTGCTGGTGGAGAATCTGAAGGTATGTTATCACACGGAGCTGCGATGGAGTTGGATTGGGTGAGGGGCTGATAATTGCTGTGGCTGTGGCTGTGAAACAGGAAGCTGCTGAGAGGGTGGTTAAGAAAGCTACGGCGCAGAATCCGTCGAAGACGGATCTGGTTTATTCTAAGGAGAAGTTTGTGGAGGAGTTCGCTTCCATCCTGGATGAGAAGAGCCAGTTGTCCCATGCGGATCTGGATGTGCTTTTGCTGTATCTGTCCCGCGATAGTGGGGCCATCGCGTATGATGGAAAGGTTTGTTTCTTGCATTTCTTGTTTATGATCGAGGTGTTTATGCCTAATTATGGAGTAGACTATCAGATTTAGACCTACCAACGACTCGCCGAGAGAGATCACGGAGCAAGATACCGCCGTGGCCTCGATCAAGTCGCTCATGGCTACAATGGCCACCCAGGTCGAGAGTCTTGAGAAGAAGATCGACGAGCTGAATATGACTGCGAAGACGGCGCTGCAAAACAACAACCGCGTGTCTGCGCTTTCAGCTGTACGCTCGAAGAAGCTTGCCGAGCACAATCTCAAGCAGAGATTTGATACCCTGATGCAGCTCGAGGAGGTTTATTCGAAGATAGAACAGGCTACGGATCAGGTCGAGTTCGTTAAGGTGATGGAGTCGAGCGCTGGAGCGCTGCGTGGCTTGCATGCACAAATCGGAGGTGCGGCTAGGGTGGAGGATGTTGTGGAGGAGTTGCGTGATGAGATGACGAAGGTGGATGAGGTCGGAAATATCCTGAATGAGGCCGGCCCGCAGATCGACGAGATGGAGATCGACGAGGAGCTTGAGGAGTTGGAGAACAAGGAGCGGGAGGCGAGAGAGGAGAAGGAAGCAGAAGAGATCCGCAACAAACTTGCCGAACTCGACAATCTCGAACAGCGTGCCAAAGAAGCCGCGCGCAGTGCAGCAGCAGAGAAGGATCTTGACTCTGAGCTTGAGGAGAGGTTATCCCGCATGTCGGTTGAAGAGAACCCAAGCGCCACAGCCCAGTGATCAAGGAGCATAGTCTTTAACCGTCGAAGATGATATATACAGAGCATAATGTTTGGCGACCAGTATCACGGAGCATTAGTGATGCATTTCAGTCAATCCACCATTGAACGATTCTGGTGGCAGTGGAGTCTCAGGCGCCACAGCACCTGACATACTGGCATCTACAGGCACACTATCGGAGGGATCTGTGGTATCTGCTGGGAATGAGGCATCTGTCAGCTCCGAAGCAGGTGTGTTGTGCATTGTACTCGACGCAGCGGATTCTTGTGGTGTTGTCGTACGCGCCGCCGCGCGACTCTGTCGCCTAGCGTTGGCAATGAGTTTCTTGAAGTCGTCCTCATGGCTTGTCGACCAAGCAGCTTTATCGAAATCCTTGCGCATGATCGATCCAGGAGCCTCGGATGATGAAGAAGATTGGTTGCCTTGAGTTCGTTCCCAGATGTCGAGTTCACGCAACAAGATTCCATGAGGCTTGGGCGATTTTGAGTCGCAATTAGCGTTCCACAGATTCACCCATTCGGTATGGCGTCTTTGCAGCAGTGGCCGTGGGCCTGTATTGGGGATGCCCAGGTCTTTGAGCTTTTTCCGAAGCATGCTCTCCTTGTATAGAGAATAATTCATGGTTGGAAGTCTCTCGAGTGGTTTGTTCTTGAAATTCCTGTATGGAACCGGCGTAGGCATCGGCATTTGTAGAGAGCTATAAGAGTCAGAACCATTTCTGACGAACATAAGCATGAGAATATCCCTACCCAAAGGATGTTTTGGGGGACGCTTTTGGCGGCGCAGGTTCTCCGGTGCATTTATCAAGATGTGAGAACACGGCTTCGTTCTTCATCCTCCGCTGACATACAGGACAGGCGACAAGTCCATCCGCTGGAAGCCTTTAGCATGCTGCATTGGACAGCTCTTAGGACGTGGAAGAACGTACCTGGAACGAACTCCTCGTCCTGACTATCGTCGATCACCTCAATCACTTCTGCTGGAGCTTGCTGTGTCGGGCCTCCTCTCGCCTGCGACCGCGTCCTCACCCCTTCCACTGACCTCCCCGCAGCAATATCCGCCTCCCTAGAAGTAGTCGCGGTACCGTCTCCGAGCTCCCCAGACACATCTACCTTCCGCTTCTTCGATGCCGGCCAACCTAGATCCCCCTCGCCTGTTTGCGCCGCCGCGGTTGCCGCCTGAGTCGCCAGCTGCAAGACGCTCGGCCTCGCATTCTGAAACGTCTCAACAAGCTCCTGCACCGCCCAATTCTGCCGGAGCTTCAGCTCCTGGTCCGGGCTGCGACACGCGGGACATTTCCCTTCCGTACTGAGACAGCGGCGTATGCATAACGAGCAAAATGTGTGGCTGCACGAGGTGATGACGGGGTTCTCGAAGAAATCCTTGCAGACTTGACATCGGAGGGCGGACTCGAGCGGCGCGAGGAGGGACAGCGGCGTGGCCAGCCAGTCCGTCGAGTCGGGGAGTTCAAAGGTCTGGTGGTCCATTGGGTAGGTAGGTTATCCTATCGGCGGTGGACTATCGCGAAAGCATTGAGGTCTTGAATTGGTTTGGTTGGTACTTCGGAGGCTCTGAAATTCGGTCCAAGTATGATAGACTGGGTCAAAGCAACTCAAGGCTGAGCAAGAGCAGTGCAGGTGAGGGTTGATGTGAGGTACAATTCCGAGGGCGGAATGAATTGGAAACTCTTGGAGCTCTTCTTTGTAGGAAAGTTCACTACTAAGGTAACTTATTGATGGAGGGATGGACTTCGGCGGCGGCGGCGGGTGGCGCCAAGACTGCCGCGGAAAAGAAAGCTGACTGATACGCGTAAAGTGGTTTGGTGGAGCACGCGTCCGTCGGCCGATCTCCGTCTGCTCTACTCCGTACTTTTTGTTGACTTCAAGCAAGAGCGACAAAGCAAGATATTGCGAAACGCGATATTCTGACATCATGGCGATCGCGGACTATAAGAAATACCTGGCGGAGAATGTTCTCAATGAGCAGCGCACGGTGAGTCAACCTAAAAGGGGTGTGTGTTTTGGTCGGGGACTGGGATTCTGATTCGATTCATGTGAATGCTTAGGTCACTTATCGCTCGCTGGGTCGAGCTCTCCGTGTGCATAGCACGTTAGCGAAGCAGTAAGTTCTGCGAGCTGTCCCAATACCATGGAAGCCGGCATGCTAACGGTGATTGATTGCAAGAATGCTGTACGACTTTCACCACAATGAGAACTACAAGAAACCCAACAGCGTCAATGCCACGTATATCCTTACGGGAGTTCAGAAGGCACCCGAGCCAGCGGCCTCCACGAATGGTTTCCAGTCCAGCGCCGATACGGACGATATTCCCCCGAGCAGCCCCTACATAAGCAGCTCTATGCCCAACCAGGATGGCGATGCAGACGAGGTCGCGGTCTCCTCGGTATTGCTTGTGCGCGAGGAAGATCTGGAGGGTGAGTCTGTCGCAGACTTGCGGGACGCGCATGGCTTGGCGTGGAGTCTTATAAGCTGACAATGCGGCTAGATGCGAAAGCAACCTTCCAGTCTATCGCCTCGATATACGTCTACAGCCTACAACCTACTGTGCTGCAGGATCTCAATGTCCTGACGGACGTGGCCCGGGAGACACTGGTCAACCATGCGCAGGAAGACCCGCTGGAGCACGGGTTATCCTGGGGCATGATTCAGAACAGAAATGTCAAGGTTTGTGTCTGTCTTGATTGGTCATTCTCGGTGGTGGCGATTCTAATGCGCTATATGTGGGGTTGTAGAGGAGAACGGGCGCTCGACCACCGGTACCTGCACCTGCACCTGCACCCGCCAAATCGGCTGCACCGGCGAAGAAGCCCACGACGGAAACCAAGCAAGAGGAACCCAAGTCTCAGCAGTCGCTGAAGAGGGAAGATTCCGTCTCATCGACTAGGTCGACGGAGAAGACTGCGCCGGTCAAGAAGGAAAAGAGTAGCATATTCAGTTCGTTTGCCAAGGTCAAGGCGAAGCCCAAGAAGGTGGAAGAGGCAACTCCCGCTTCCTCTGGAGTTGATACGGTTAGTTCACTTCCGGTTCCAGCTGCGGTTGCGAATGCGGGCTAACAGACATATTAGGCGGAACCTAGCGCCTCTGAAGATGGTAAGTCTACGAGAAGCTTTCAGAAAGTGATGGTGACTGATATTGGGCAGTTGTTCTGGACGATGCATCTGAAGACGAGCCTGACGAACTTTTCCCTGACTCGAACAAGTCTGCTTCTACCAGCACGAGGGAGACTCGGAAAGAGCGGGAGGAGAGGCTTCGGAAGATGATGGAGGATGACGGTATGTCACTCTACCCTGCTCCAATAGCAGCTATTGACTTATACAGATGAGGAAGAAGATGAAGAAATGCCTGATGCCGCACCGTCGCCTGAAGAGGAGTCCAATGTCATCGACCAACCACCGCCTAAACCGGCCGAACCCAAGGAAGAGGTGATTGTCCGCGCAGGCCGTCGACGAGGAAGGCGCCAGGTGATGAAGAAGGAGACGGTCAAGGATGAGGAGGGCTACCTGGGTGAGATTGACCTCGGTGCACATTTCTCTCGGAAGAGATTTACTGACTATTTGGGCCAGTCACCGTCGAAGAGCCGAGCTGGGAGTCATTTTCGGAGGACGAACCAGCACCGCCGCCCAAGAAGAAGCCGGCCGTGAGTGCCCCGAAGGGAAAAGCCGGGCCTAAAGCTGGTCAGGGCAGCATCATGTCATTCTTTGCAAAGAAATAGCGAGCCAGTAATTGAGGCGAGGGTGGAGGCACAATACAAGAGCGGAGCTGTGTACACACTGCACTGTACAACGTAGAGATCTCTATCAGACAACTAGAGTGTCGAGTCACAAGTCATACGATGCAGGCAGAAGGTGCAAGTGCAACAATGCAATGCGACGCGACCAAGTGACGGCCTCGGCGCCGATCCCTGTTGATCTTCTCCGCATTTCTGGCCCGCATTCCAACTTCCTTCCCCTTGTCACCTCCGTCACGCCCACCAGTCCACTTTCCCATCATGTCTCCTTCTCTTCTCTTCTTTTTGCCTTTCTATTTGTGGGATCTTCGTTTGTCTCATACTGTGTCGCACTCTGCCGACATCTCCGAATACCTAGGCTCGTCATGACACGCTCTGCGGCACTAATCGTCGTTCTAGCAGCCAGTATAGGCGCTACAGGTACTACAGTTCGCGATGAGCAGGCGATTCTGCGGCGTTCCTGTCCTGACTATCTATCCTATTCCTCTGTCGGACAGTAAGTTGCGACTTCTAATCTTCCAACTCCAAAGGTCCCAACTAATCCCCCGCAGTGCCCCGTACAGCGGCGGTGCCTTGAATCTGCCGTTCCAGCGCCCTTCTGTCGATTGTCGGACCTTCTCATCACCGGCGGTAGAGACTGTCATTGAGGATGTGACGTCGCGGATGGTAGACAAAGACCTCGCGCAGCTGTTCCAGAATGCCTTTCCCAATACGCTAGACACGACCATCCGCTGGCACGTCAACGGGACCCAGACACCAACATCAACAGATTCCCCAAAGCGGAAGCGAGCTAACAACGCACCTCAATGGCAAGGGCTGCAGTCCTTCATCGTCACCGGCGACATCAACGCCGAATGGCTGCGCGACTCGACCAACCAGCTCTCCGGCTACCAGGCCTTGGCCAAGAAGGATTGGGCCCTCTACAACCTCATCCTGGGCGCCATAAACACCCAGGTTGAATACGTCATCCAGTCCCCCTACTGCAATGCCTTCCAGCCGCCGTCCGCAAGCGGCATTTCACCGGCCAGCAGCAGCCAGCAGGACACCGTCACGCCACCGTACAACTCCTCCGTGGTTTTCGAGTGCAAGTACGAGCTCGACTCGCTGGCCAACTTCCTCGCGCTGGGCACCCAGTTCCACGAGCACACCGACTCGACCGAGTTCCTGACTCCGCGATGGTACCAAGCCCTCGACACTGTGCTACGGGTCATCGACGCCCAGTCCCAGCCCACCTTCAACGCCGCCCAGCAGTACGTAACGAACGAGTACACCTTCCAGCGCCAGACGACCCTGGGCACCGAGACCCTCAACCTCGCGGGGACTGGCAACCCGCTCAACGGCGGCACGGGGCTCATCCGCAGCGCCTTCCGGCCCAGCGACGACGCCACCATCCTGGGCTTCTTCATCCCCCCGAACGCCATGATGGCCGTGCAGCTGCAGAAAACCGCCGCGGTGCTGCGTCGCCGCGCCGCGGCCGACGACGGGAACGCCAACGCAACCCACATCGTCGCCGTCGCCGATGACCTGCAGTCCCGCGGGGAGAAGCTCGCGCAGGCCGTCCAGGAGCACGGCATCGTCAATCACCCGGTGTACGGCGACGTCTACGCCTTCGAGGTGGACGGGTACGGCTCACGCATCCTGATGGACGACGCGAACGTCCCATCGCTGCTGTCGTTGCCGCTCCTGGGCTTCGTCGACCAGCAGGATCCGGTCTACCAGAACACCCGCAAGATGATTTTAAGTCCTGCGGGAAATCCGTACTATCTGACCGGCACGGATTTCCATGGTATCGGCGGTCCACATAGTATGTTTTCCTCTGTCTCAGCTTGCATACCCTCAGGAGAACGGGGAGCTAATCTGTCTTTGTTTCGTGTAGTCGGTCTGCAGAATGCATGGCCCATGTCCCTGCTCGTCCAAGCGATGACAACAGACAACACAACCGAGATCACCGAGTGCGTGAACCTGGTCCGCAACTCGAGTCTGCTAGGCTTGGTCCACGAGTCGATCAACGTGAACAACATCTCCACGTACACGCGGCCGTGGTTCGCGTGGGCGAACTCGGTCTTCGCGCAGACAATCCTCAAGCTCGCCGCGGAGAAACCCGCTTTGGTCTTTGGGGAGGGGGCCGAGCCGTATGTTGTCGAGTAGAGAGCGCGTTTGGAGCTACGGGTAGGAGGAGCCTGGACTCGGAGACATATGACGGACGCCCGCTGGTGTTGCCATTGGTCTGTGGTCTCTATGAGCGTGTACATACATCTTACTCCAATAGCATAACGAGCATTCAGTCCATATGCCGCGAGGCTAGATTCTGCTCGGCCTCTTCTGCATCGAGGGAATTAAAAGTGCTCATAAGTCTACATTAAGCTCGTCATCTTGTGAGTTAATACATACAGAAACTTGAAAAGAAGTCTGTTTACACCAAGACTCTCCTCAACCCCTCCGTACCGCCCAACACCCTCCGCCCAGTAACCGGACATCTGCCCCGCCCACTCTCCCACTTCCCCCGCCGACTACCCTTCGCTTTACTCTTCCCCTCCTCACCCTCCCCATTTCCAGCTTCACCCCTCGCTTGCTTAACCTGTTGCGCATCCAGCGCTAAATCCTCCTCCTCCCACGGCGCACCGGCCGCGGCCTCCCCATCCATGAAATCAATCTGCCGCTGATGCTCCCCGTTCAACCAGTGGAATACACACACATAGCAGAACACATAACCCGTCTGACAGGCCGTCGGGTTAGTCAACGTGTTCAAACAGACGGGACACGCCTGAGCGGTCTCCGAGTTTGCGGGGGGCAGTGGAACGGTGAAGATGGGGAGGTACGAGGATGCGGAGATGGGGATGCGACGGTCCTGGGGTTCTTGTTCCTGTTGCTGCGTGTCGCTGGTCGGGGACTTGAGGGCTGATTTAAGCTGCGGGGAAGATGCGGATGATTTCTCGTCGGCGTTCTTCGGATCTTTCGTGGTGGTGGATCTACGTTGCGAGGGCGGGATCATCCCGTTGGCTACGGGCGCGGGAAGATCCAACACCTCCGTGGCTTTGCGGGCGAGCTGCCGCGAGAAGTCGCTGGCGTGGTACCATTCCAGGAACTTGAGAGCGAAGATGGAGGCCGGGAGGAAGTAGCGGAGCGAGGTGAGGAGTTGGGCGTGCAGGTTCTGCGGGCTCAGGAGGCCTAGGAGGCTGGAGCCAGGGCGGGAGCGGGAGCGAGAGGGAGTGGCGGGCGTTGGGGGAGGGTCGAGGACCGCGGCGATGGCGCGGTGGTCGGCGGAGCTGAGGCGGCGGATGCGGGTGCCGATCAGCCACAGGAACGGGGAGGAGTACTTGGTGTTGTCGAAGAGGTAGGCGAGGTTGAACGCGAGGATGGTCAGGTAGTAACCCGCGTTGAGGGAGGGGTAGATGTTCCGCAGGAACCATTTGTAGTAGTGGAAGAGCCGCTGGCGCAGGGTCGGCCGCGGCGGGAGCTCGTCGCCTGGGTTGTAGCGCGGCCCACCGCTCATGATCAGCGAGGCGTGCGGCGCCGCGTGGATGTCGTACCCTTCGTCGAGTTTGCGCTTGAGGTACGGAATGCCCACCATGATGAGGAGGTTCTTCCACACATCCCGCGTGCGGAGTTTGAGGGCGTCGCGCACGGGGCCCGGAGCGCCGATCTGGGCGCGCGGAATCTCGCCATTCTTCGTGAGCAGGACCCGTTCGCGCTTCAGGGAGTAAAAGTTCTCCGTGAAGGAGCCGCCGAAGGTGCGGAGGTAGTATCGTTCGACGAGGAGGGAGAGAATGGCGTAGATCTCATCATAGGAGTTGAGGATTCGGAGGAGGTATCGCGGGTGGCGGTGGGTGGCGACTGCGAGAATGTAGCGGATGGATGGGGGGAGGAGATCGGAGAGCTGTTGTTCGGCGAGGAGCTCTGCAATGCTGCGGATTAGTTGGGAGTGGATTGTGAGATAAGAGGTGGTTTGGGCTGGACTTACCGAAGAGAGACGGCTTCAACTCGTCGAATTCCTGCTGCAGACTCGGTAAGTACTCCATACTGTTGTGGCAGTGGCAGTCATCATCCCCTGGAGGGCGACAGGGGTGAATTAGAGATAGAGTTGTGGGGGAAATAGGGTAGAAGGATTGAGGAGGGAGATTGATCCAATGGTGGTCGGGACAAGATGCGGAGGAGAAGCGCTGGGGCTGAGCCGAGGCTTATCGGCCGGCCGCCTTCCACTCCGCTTCGGTCTTGCTGCTGATGGTCCGGCAGATCAACGGCCTGGAATACTGACACTCTTACCCACCAAATTCTCCGTTCCATGAAAGCCATGATGATCCTAAACCCGATCCTGTCAACCTTCTCCGGAACATCCAACTGATTACAGTCGATTCGAAGACTACAAGACCGAGACAAGACAAAAGCTTTCTGGTACATGAACTGAGTTGCTCCTCCTATTATACATGGTCCGACGTCTGGCTGAGATGTTGGAAATAAGGCCTGGATCACAGCCACAGGTCGCCGTGATGTGGCTGCAGTAGCGACGGCTGCTAAGACAACTTTCCCAGCCGAAATTCTGGAAGCACATTCAAAGAGCACATGATTCCATCTTCATCAAGCAAGCTGAGCAAGCCAGGCATTCTCCATCACCACACTGACAGACACAGGTTCGACACGCCCGGAAGTACGAGCAAAAGGTAGTACTGTATTTCCGCTCCACTGCCCCAAACAAACCACACAGCAAGCCTCACACAACCCATTTTTCTCACCCTTCGACGTCAACGATTTTTCGCATGCTCATTCTCTCCTTTCGACTCCATGGCAGCCGCCTGGATAGCCTCATCCCGGATCTGCATCAACTGTTCCATCTGTCTCCCCTCCGCGACCGGCTGCAGGGCTCCTACCGCAACCTCGATACACCTTACGACCAGCCGCGCGACCTCCCCCTGCGCAGCAGAAACCGGAAGTACCTCGCGCGCCATCATGGGAACCCACATCAGCACGCACTGTACCGCACGGCGTGGATCCCCCAGCTGCGCGTGCAAGCGAAACAGCATCACATAGTCTTCCACGCTGCGCGGCGCTCCCTGCAGCGGGATCCTGCGCCACAGCTTCCAGAAAGTCTCGTAGTCGCCGTTCTGGAACAGCATGGTCATGAGGCTTCGCGCGTCGTCAGGGTGGTAGGGGAGGTGGAGCGCGGTGATCATTCGTGAGATTCGGGTGGCTGCATCGTCGTCCTCTTGATCACTGGCGGGTGTGCTGGGTGCGAAAAAATCATCATCAAGCGTATCAGTATCGACCGTGGTTTTAGGCTGCGGGGGTGAAAAGATAGCGGCCTGGTAGAGCATGGCGAACGTTCCCATGACGAGGACCGGCGTCCCCTGAAGAGATAGGTACTCTAGCACGCGCAGAGCCAGCTCTTTGTCCGCGTCCGGCACCTGATCGGGGAACTCTGCATCGTTGGGGGCGCGGGGGGTTAAGAGAGTGGAGACGACGGAATAGCCCAAATGATCGGAGACGGCGCCTCCCGCTGCGGTGTGTTCGCCAAATGCCTCGTAGAGGGTCTGCTTGCTCGGCCCTGAGGGAAGCTTGTGATGGTGGTCGGCGATGACGGCTTCGAGCTGGTTTGTTGTTGGTGGTGGAAAACTCCGCGGGTGTCTAGCAGGTCTAGAACTCGGCGCTGGGGAAGTATAGCAGTGGATTTGGAGTAAACACGGGGTTTGATGGCGCGGTACCGTTGCGATCTTGGCCGAGGGTATTCTAAATCGACTTCCTGATCTAAACCAGGGTAATCTGAGAAGAAGCCCACTCATTCTTTTGGTTGTAGACGGTTGCTGAGGATAGAAGACACGGTCCCATCACACAACTACTACTCAGAAGGCTAGGCTAACCGCCGTCATCTCCTCATCGGATGCGGGGAAGCGCAATGCTACTAAGCCAGAATGGGCTGAGCGCCCCACAGAAGCCCAGGAACCATGCAAGTGACAGCCGCCCCTACCGCCGAATACACCGCCTGCAGCGGCAGAACACTCGTGACCTCGCAACGGATTTCGCGATTTGTGGGATGAACAGGCCCAGAAAAAAGGCGGGGCGAAGTGGTAGGTTTTGGCGGTGGCAGAAAATATCCTCCCAATCTGGAATGGCTTCATTTTCGCCGGCGGGGCTACAGCTACAGTACACTGCGCTTCGAAGAGAGGCACAGCCAGGCCAACTGTATCAGACCACTAATATATACCTCTCAATAAATACGAACCAAAACTACTACGCGTAGAGGGCGACAGCACTCTCCTCAGTCACTACAAACTATCTCATCTCTCAGTCCTGGTCGCCAAAAGTTGAAGAATCGTTCGTGAACATTGGGATATCGATAAGCCAACCAATCAAGCCAAGAAATGCTCCCTGTACAATACACCCGCAACACACTCATATAGACCAAACAAGCACGCAACACCAGCCTCAGAAAATCTTCCCCAGAACCCGCTTCGTATCCGCCCCCAGATCCTTGAAATCATCCGAACTCTTATCCCGTCCCAACTTGACCTCATTCTGCCTAAACACCCGCCGCACCTTGACATTGACATCCTTCTTCTCCTTGCCTGCCGCAGCAGCAGCAGCAGCAGTTCCCTGGTCCTTCTCCAACCTCCGCCTCTCCTTCTCCTCATTCTTCCTCCGCATCCCATCCAACACCTTCCCGCGTTCGACCCCCTCCAAGAACACCTTATCCTCCTTCCTCGCCTTCGAATCCTCCGCCCGCTGCCGCGCCTCGCGCTCCGACCGCTCGCGCGAGATCTGCTCCTGGAGATCACTCCACTTGAAGCCCCGCAGGTACTTGAGGTTGAGGATGTCATCGTGGTAGAACCCGCCCTTCCGCCCACCGATAATGTTCCCGTTCAGCGCCTCGGCGCAGATCTTGGCCGTCTTCTTGCTGGCAAACTCCAGCCACCCGTCCGCGTAGGTCTTGCGCTTGTTCGTGGTGCGCCGCTTCTTCGTCTCGGGTGTCAGGAAGACGCGCGTGATCGGGCCGAAGCCACGGGCTTCGATGAGGTTTTTGAGGGCGAATCTGTTGGTAAAAGGGTTAGCGGGGCGGGGCTTCCAAGACGTGGGGGATTCTGTGGAAGAGGGACTATGCCATACGGTTTGAGATGCGGCGGAAGCGAGCTGAGATAGACGACGCCGGTCTTGTTCTTCTTGTCCTTCTTGAGGACCGGGGATTTCTTCTTGGATGACGATGCAGTAGTAGCAGCATCTTCTTGTGCGGCGGCGGCATCCTCTGCTGCGATGTCTTCTTCGGGTTCATCTTCGTCCCCGGAGGCGTCCGTAGCAGCGCGAGTCGTGGGTTTCTTGGCCTTGCCCTTGCCCTTGCCCTTGCCCTTGGGTTTCTCATCCTCACTGTCCGATGCTGCATCGAGATCGGAGTCGTCCGAGTCCAGCCCGTGCAGGTTGTCGGTGTCGTTCACGCGGCGCCGTTTGGCGGAGCGCAGCGCGCCTTTGCTCTGTGCTTCTTCGTCGGCGGCCGAGTCGTAGCCCTGGTCTTGTTCGTCGTCATCGCTGACGGCGAGATCGAAGGGGTCGTTGCGTTTGCGCGAGGTCATTTTTTTTTTGTTTGTGGTAGTGTTGGCTGCGCAATCTGCCTACAATAAAGTGCTTTCGATGGAGGGCATTTAGAGTTGCATGGAACTTTTTTGCCGGGCGGCCGGCCGTTGCTTGGCCTGTGCACCGCCCGGTCTGGTGGGCCAATCGGGGAGGAGAAGTTGCGGACTCTCTCTTCCTCTTCTTGCTTGTAGATCATTCTAGGTACAGTTCTACTTTGCACTTTTACATATAGAATTTTAGATCTCTAAGAACGGTCGCAGGATGTATTTCAAATGCATGCAATCAATCTAGAAACCGCACAGCCTCTAGCATCAAACATGTAATGTATATGCTCTATGTACAAGACTCTGTACTCCGTCACCTCAAATGTCTCGGCGAAGGATGGGTATGAACAAATGGTATAGACACACAACTCAACTCTCGGTTCCCCGCTCCCCCCCTAACGCCTAAATCTTTCGGAAGATCTCCAAAGAACTAAACACATAGATATGTCCCTATATACCGAGGGACCACTTCAACCGTTCATAGACGAAGAACCCGGTGGCTGTCATGGGGACGATCTTCATATATCCAATCGTCAGACCGACCCAGAAGCCTCGGAAGCCTCGCTCCAGCATAATGGTGCGGGCCGTCTCCACGATCCCCAACCGATGGCCGTCCCCGACGACGCCTCCGACCTGCATCCGGCGTCGGATGACCTCCAGCGGGTACGAGGACGTCTGGGATACCAGCCCCGCCAGAGCACCAGAGGTAAGTTCCGCAGCGGCGGTCAGCTGTAGTCGCCGAGAGCCCTTCTGTGATTGGGCGGTCGATTCGGATTGGGGGATGGTGGTGTAGGGGGCGAGGGAGGGGGAGCGCAGCCAGTCGCCGACGGTGTCGTGAGTCAGGAAGGACATGCCAGCGTAGGGAAGCATTCCCAGAAGCGTCGGGGCGAAGCCACGGTAGAAGTTCGCCAGTCCCGAGTGCGGAACGGCTTTGGTTACGGCGGCAGAGACGGTCTCGGCCGTCGTCGTGATGGGGCCTTGCGTCGCAGATACCCCGCTGGACGTCGAGGGGGGCGTCACCCGTTCGTGGTAGATCTGGCGGAAGATGTCGGTGAACGAAGAGCGAGCGGTTCGTTTCGTCTCGAACGCTAATCGCACTCTGATCAACTCTAGCGGGTATGTGAAGAAGACCGACGTGATGCCCGCCATACTCCCCGAGACGAGTCTGCGCAGCGGCGTTTCCTTGTCCGGAGACGGGATCATCAACGCCCGGTACTGCTCGTATGCAAGGAATTTAATCGCAGCGTAAGGGAAGATACGGAGGAGGGTCGCAGAGTGTCCCTTGAAGAGACCTTGGAGGCCTTCGCGGTGTTTGATGTCTCGAATGGCCGCGACGAGGCCAAACCAACTGCCCGTGTATTTTGCAAATTGCGGATTCGAGGCCTGAAAAAGAATCTTGACCCGATCGAGGGGCGCGACAACGGTTTTGGCCTACGATATTTTTTCCGCTGTCAGTCCATGCATCTATCGCCAGCTGCAACTTTTGAAATCATGAGGGGGGGGGGAAAGAACCTACCGCACACCCCGCTAGACCTCCCGCAACACCGCTGCGTACGATATAGTCTACGCTGCGCTTGTTCACCTCTTTCGTGGCCCGGCGGCCGTTTTGTACTTGGTGTGGGGAAGACGCATCGTCCACCGCGGTCGCCTGTGTCGTGCCCACGGCTAACCTCTCTTTTGCGTCACTGGTTGCTGGACCTCGGGCCGGCCTTGACTGAGCGACTTGCTCCATTGAAAACGGCTGTGTGCAGGGCTGAAAGGACTATTTGACTGGAAGGAGAGTAATTCGACTTTTAATGATGGACCGGTCAGCGGCGGCGCATAATCTGATACCGTCACCGGGTTCGACGCAGTCCTGGCGCGAGGTCGAATCTGAGGTTATCGAGCAGGTCACGGGCTAACGGATAATGGCGGCCATGGATATGGTCGTCAAAGGTAATGTAGGAGGGAGGGAGAAGTTGGCGCGGGAGAATGTGAGAGAATGTGCGGGGAGGGGAATGTAGAGGACAAGAAAGGCCGCAGCAAACCGAGGGGGCAGATAAGCCTAGAGATGATCAGCTGGCAAAGTCACCACTCTGATTCTGCATTTGATTTGATTATTATTTGGGACTGAACCAACAAGTCGGAAGAGGCAAGACAGCATGCGGCACCCTCTGGGGCGGCCTGAAGGGAAGGGCGGAAACTCAAGATTCAGACGGAGATGACGTTACAGCCCTGACATGCCGATACCTGCCGCCGACACCTATTCGTGCTGCAGTTACCGTCATATAACAGCTCTGCATCCGACTGGGTGGCGGAAGTGGATTTCTCCCTTTGGGGAGGCCAACCGTAGCCGAGTAATTATTCAGGCGCATCACAATTGATACCTGAGGCGGCAGCAGCAGCATCATCATCTTCTTCTCAATTCAGCTGTTCTGCTTGCTGTTACTGCTTCCAGCCCCTGCGTTCACTACATATAGAAATACACTTTACAAGTTAAGACCATGTATGTCTTGGATGCAGGCCTCTTTCGAGGCGCGACAATTGCTGGATTCAATACTTATATACTCCTCCCGTCAGTGTTCAGTAGAGGGCCAAAATAAGATCCCCCGCTCTGCTCCCACAGCTTTTCTTCGATATGCATGTATATATAGAGTGAGAAGCTGAATTTGACAAAAGTAATCATGGTCACATCGCTCATGCAAGTTCTATCAAAAACTCCTTTTTCTCAGTGGCTATAGCCACCCAAATGTATAGCCTCGACCAGGCACAGATCCGATAATCCTATAACACCTCTAGTCCCAGAACAGAAAATCAATGAAAACGAGACGGCAGCTGCTCTAGAAGTGGTAGCGTGTGCCTTGTCTAGTCAGGGGCTTGCCTTGGCGATTGGTTGCCTTGATTTCTTTAGACTCGTCGACGGCTCGTTTGGCTCGTTTGGTCGGGCGTGAGGCATCCACGTGAAGGTGTCCATTGTCGTTGATGCCCGTATTGTTTCTCCAACGCATACAGCGATGCTTGTTGTCGTCCACATACGTCTTGTTGCGCGTCATGACTCGCTTGCTGGGGATTTCCTCCGACTCTGCCCGTTCTGCAGTCTGCTCTAAATACTCCTTGCGGTGTTGCATGTAGGTAACGACCTTGTCACGCTGCAATTGTAACTCCTTGCGTAGCCTGGACTCTCGGTTACCACGGGAGTCTAGC